AGTGGTTTTCTTGTGAGAAATGTGCTCCCACAGGTAATTGGGTATTCCTGTCTTTGATAGATTTCCGGTGTGCATTCATTCTGGTGCACAGTTGTTGTTTGGTCTCTTCTACATATTTTCCAACAAGGCATTTGGTGCGTTGGATGAGATATTTTACATTTCTGGATGTGCAGCTATAAGATGCAGGAATCCTGATGGCTCTGTTGTGGGGTATGGCAATTGTGGAGGTGGTGGAGATGTGTTGGCAGGTTTTGCATTTCTTGTCATGGCATGGTCTGGATCCATTTGGTGTGTTCTGGGCCCGAGGAAATTTGCTTCTGGTGATGAGGTTAGTGAGGTTTGGTGTTTGTTTGAAGGCTAGGATGGGTGGTTCTGGAAAGATCTCTTTACAAATGGGGTATCTTTCTAGTATGGGTTGCAATTGTTTGAGGGTTTTCCATATGGGTTCAAGGGAGGCATGATATGTCATAACCAGAGGTGTGAGATTCATAATTTTTTTCTTCTGTACTGCAGCAATTCTTCACATAGTATCTGGGTGGCTCTTTCAAACATGCAATCTCTCTCTCTGGAGGAGTGTCCTTGTTGGGTGAAAGCCTTTTCAAGACTGGTGAGGTGGCAATCCTGGGTGTTCTCAGTGCAAATACGGTGGTATCTGAGGGCTTGGCTGTATATCACAGCTGCCTTTTTTTTTTTTTTTTTTTTTGGCTGTACATCACAGTTATTAATTCATAGACCCATAGGGCTGGAAGGGACCCTGAAGGATCATTGGGTCCAGCCCCCTTCATGAGCAGGAAAGACATTTGGAGTTAGGTGACCCCAGCCAGGTGACCATCCAGTCTTCTCTTGAAGACCTCTAGGGTAGATGATTGCACCACCTCTGGGTGGAGCTTGTTCCATAGTCTGGACACCCTAATTGTGAAGACGTTTTCCCTAATGTTCAGCCTGAAACTATCTTCCAGGAGTTTGTGGCTTTTGTTTCTAATTTTCCCCCAGGGTAGCCTGGTGAACTGTTTTTCACCGAGCCTCTGATGTACACCTTTGATAAAGTGGTAAGCCATAATCAGGTTCTCTCTTAGCCTTCTTTTCTTTAGGCTGAAGAGTTCAAGTCCCTGATCACACAGGTGGCCCTTCTCTGGACCCTCTTGAGCTTTAGCATGTCTTTGTTGAAGTGCAGTGCCCAGAACTGGATTGAATACACCAGCTGTGACTGCAGCAATTTTGAGTAAAGTGGGAGAATTGAGATCTCCTATAGGTGTTCATGCTGCCCTCTTGTTCCCAAGCTTGCTTGGGCCCTTGTCACTTACCTGGGCTGTTCCTGCTTGCATCACCTGGTTTGATGTTGAAGTGTCCTCCTATACCTCCGCATCGCCATCCCCCAACTAACCTAGTTTAAAGCTCACCATAGGAGATCAGCCAAGCTGGAAGAGAAAACACGCTTACCTTTCGGGGAGAGATGTAACCTGTCCCGCCCTAGCATGTCCCCTGTGCAGAAGTGAGTCATGGTTGAACAATCCAAAGCCACCAGTTGACCTCTCCAATGCAGGCCTCATGAAGAACAGATGAGAAAAATCACCTGTGCTCCCGTCTCCCTAAGTTTGGCCCCCAGAACCTTGTAGTCTCTCATGATACAGTCCAGACTACTCCCGGCTGCGTCATTAGCACCCACATGGATGAGAACCAAGGGGTAGTGATCAGAGGACTGAGTGAGGTCTGGGATCATTGCCGTGATGTCCTGAATCTGAGCTCTGGGCAGGCAGCAAACCTCCTGTGCCATGGGATCCAAACAACAGACAGGTCCCTCTGTTCTGCTCAGCAGAGAGTCACCCACAATGATGACACGGCATCTTTTCTTCTGCTTACCTGGGTGGCCCTCAGCTCACTCAGTGATGGCAGCAGGCTCCTCCAGTGCACACTCCGCCAAGGCCTCATAGTTGTTCCCCAACTGCACAGGGGAGGCTATTTCTATGGTGAGAGATCTAGCCCCAGAGGTGACCATCCTCCACTCACCAGTGTCTGCTTCAGGGCATTCCCTCACAGTTTCACCAGGCATCTTGTCCTGCAGAGAATTAAAGTAACCATCAATCTCCTCCTCTATTGCCCTGATCCCCCACAGCCTGCTCACCTCCACCTGGAGTTCCCTCACCTGCCCCTCCAGGGTCAGGATCTGGGCACATGTGAGACAGGTAAAGGAACCCCCAGCCCCTGTGCTACCCCCAGGCCTCAGAGGTCCCACCAGGCAACCACCAGACAGGGGGCCAAGCCACTGCTGACACATCCAAGGAGCTTGTCTGAGTGCAGGCTTCACAGGTGGTCTGGGCTGGGGCCAGCAGCAGGACAGGGGCCCTGGCTGCACTCCGTGTCACCACTCCCATAGTAGCACCCCTCCTCCATCTCTTAGGAGCATCTGCCAGAGACCTCAGGTGTGTATTCCTGCCCATGAACTGGCCTTCAAACTGCTCCTGTTAGCAGTCCCTGTTTTCTGGCTCCCTAATCACAGGCTCCAGGCTTTTCTGATCAGTACCTTGTGGGATACCAGGTCAAAGGCTTTCTGGAAATCAAGGTATATGATGTCAACTGCTTTTCTCTCATCCAGGTGATGAGTCAATTAATCATAGAAAGAAATGACGTTAGTCATACAAGACCTGCCTGTGATGAAGCCATGCTGCCTGTCATTCAGTATCATGCCTTCTGCAGGTGTGTCACATATAACCTCTTTGATGAATGTTTCTAGGATTTTCCCTGGAATAGAAGTTAAGCTAATTGGCCTGTAGTTTCCTGGGTCCTCACACTTCTCTTCTTGAAGATGGGCACAGCATTAGCCCTCTTCCAGTCCTCTGTGATTTCTCTAGAGGCCAATGATTTTTGAAAAACCTTTGCCAGTGGCTCTGTAATTACTTCATCCAACTCTTGCAGCACTGTTGCATGGAGGTCATCTTGTCTTGCTGATTTTTATACATCCAAGTTCTTTAATTGATTGTACACCAGTTCTATGGCAATGGTGGGAATGGTGTCAATCCCACCCTGCTCATTCTGTGCCCTATCTGCTATGTTGTCCCCCTTGGTCTTGTGAAAGACTGAGGCAAAGTAGTCATTTAGGAGTTCCATTTTTTTCCTGAATGGTAGTGACCGGGTATCCTGAGGTATTGAGCAGTGGCCCCACACTCCCATTAATTTTCCTTTTACTCCCTATGTAGCTAAAGAAGGACTTCTTGTTGTCCTCAATTCTTGCAGCTAGTTTTAGTTCCATTTCTGCCTTAGCTTGCCTAATCTGGTCTCTGCAAGTACGGGCCATTGTCAAGTAGTCTTCCTTACAGGCTGGCCCAAGCTTCCACTGTTTCTACACCTCTTTATTTTTCTTTATCTTGGTTTATGGATAACTGGAACACCAAAAAACAACAGTCCAAAGACTGGAGTGAATGTAAGTCAACGCAGTGGCTGGGCCCTGTAGTCCAAATGT